TGATGCTTCACACCCCATTGGCAGTCGCAGCACCTGTATACTGTATATTAGCCAGGACTCTGCACTGCATGCCACAGAAACTAATTTACAAAAAAAAGAAATTTATAGGCTTGTGCAAATGAAAAGTTCACAGGACGAAGTAGCCTTAAATATGGCTGGATTCAGAACAGAAATAGATTTACTACGAGCCCAGGGGAGCTACCTTCTGGGTTCCTCATTGTTTGGCTGTCTTAGGCACTGGGAGAGGCCCTAGTAATATATTTACATGGTGGTTTGTTTTCCTAAAAGTTGTAAACTTCACTTCCCCAACTCAAGAGTGTTGGGGGATTAGGGCCAGAAAAGCTATATACCAGAAGAGTAAAGCTGGGGAGGGTTCTGAATAAGCGGCAGGACAAAGCAGCTATGGGTGCCTGTGCATGTTCTGCTTCCTAGGTTGGAACACTACCCTTCCCTCCTCCTGATGAATTAAAGACTCAGCTCAGGTAGCACTTGATTCCCTGACACACTCCCAACCTCCTCCCCTCACTGTGGCGCTCTCTCAGTGTTCCCATGAGCCCCTGGGGCTTTATTCTATCAGTGTTCTTCTCCCTGTCTTGCAACTGTCAGTGCTCATCTGTCTCCCCATATCAACTGTGAGCTCATTGAAACAGGAAATCTGATTTATATCTCCAGTCTTAGCACCTAGTAGAGGGTTTGTCACACAGTAGTCCTTCAACAAAGAATTTTTATAAGCAAATAAGCAAGTGAGCTTTAAACACTTTGGCCCAGAGAGATAGCTGAAGCTTTCTTGGCCTTGCTAACTTTCATGGAGCTAAACTGAGAGTTTAATAACATTGAGCTTCAGCTTACCCCTGGCCTCTGAGGAAAAAAGCTTCATAGAACAGCAATTTTCAACCTTCCTTTTATCTCATGGCACACAGAAACTAATTACTAAAATTCTGCAGCCCACCAAAAATTGATTTTGCTCCATTCACACTGGATGGCTATCATTGTGTTGGCTGTTGTCATTTTTTAAATTTGACAATCTGAGGGAAAAAAGGTGAGTGCCCCTGACTAAATAGTCAGGTATGACATGTTTTAAAAATTCTTGCAGCACATCAGTTGAAAACTGCTGTATGGAAAAATGCAAGGGCAGAAAGAGCACAGCTGAAACCTGGTCATTTTTGTCCCTATATATTTTTTATAGTCCCACATTTCTCTACACATGGTCATGTCTGGTAATTTCTTTCTAACATCCTTCTTGGATACTCTAGAAACTAGTCGAAAGTAAAAAGGAAGGTTATATAAGTAAATCAAAGCCTATTTTTGCATACCAACTGTATTTTTTCCCCCTCTAGCATATGACTTCAGTTTCATTACCATAGAGCTAGAAGGGGTGTATGTGTGTAATGGGCATTAAAATTGTTTCAATAATGGAAAAGTAAACATACGATTGAACAAATACAAGTAACTTTTATGTGGCAATACATAAATGGATCTCAGGAGTGGTCCTATAAATCTGAAATATGTAGGGGTGAATTTTGTTTTGTTAGGGATTTAGTAATTTTAATTTCCTAAAATACCATTTAATTTATATAGATTTATAAAAGGGAAATGACCACTTTGTGGCCACTTTGGAGTCTTGTCTATATCTTTGATGAAAGCATAACTACTCTTGGAAGATGACATTTTGTCCTTAGACCCTCTAGAATTAGATCTTTCTCTGTTGTATATACAGGGTCTGGCACAAATAACATCCTTTTTTTAATTACAAAATCATAAACATGTAATTCTGTAACATAACAATATCACACTCAAGCACACTGTTCGACATTTTAGATGAAATGTTCAAATTAAAACTATAAATTATTACACCGATGTTATTACCCTACCAACCACACTCAAACAGGTGTTACTTGTGCCAGACAATGTATATTGATTTGTTTCATGTACACTCTGCTTTCTGTTGATTACCCTCAGATGGGCCCATTCATATGTTCAGCTTGATAAAATTGAGTCCACCTATTTGAAATCTGACCCTAATTTTCTCAAGTATGAGTTTCTTTAAAATTATTTATTCATTTAATTATAAAAGTAACATGAACAGAACCCTTGGGGAAAATCATGTGTAATCATCTTAATGCAATAGCTATATTTTTCTAATATTTACCTTTGATCCTTTTATATGCACATTTTTAAAAAGATTTCATTTATTTTTAGAGAGAGGGTAAGGGAGGGAGAAAGAGAGGGAGAGGAACATCAATGCGTGGTTGCCTCCCACTGGGGACCTGGCCTGCAACCCACGCATGTGCCCTGACTGGGAATTGAACTGGCGACCTTTTGCTTCGCAGTCCATTACTCAGTCCACTGAGCCACACCAGCCAGGCACACATTCTTATATACTTGTAAGTCATAATTTAAGAATAAGTTTGCAACTGCATTTAAAAAGAGTAAAACAGTACTGATTCTTTTAAAACATTTGAGATAGGCTTAGACTCTGGAAGAACCCCCTCCCAATACTTTTTGCTGCTGGTGTAGTATTACAATAAAGTAACTGATAGCATCATCAATGGCCTTATATTGTAGACTGCATTTGGACATCTTGCAGTAACTCCAGATTTAAATAATGTTTTTACTCTCCTGAAGGGAAAATGAATTTTGCGAAACAGGCAAGGACAACAAAATGGAAGGGGCACATACAAGCCTTCTCCACCAGCTAATAGGTTGAGCCTGCGTAAGTCACACTTAACTAGGTGATGGTAGGTTTCACATATCCCTGTAGTTAGGTGTTAAACCTAGATAATATCTACTTTTCAAGACTCATATAATTTGCTATTTCATTCAGAGGTCAATACTTACTTTCCAAAGTGTTTTCCTTTCAGAAAGTCTCAGTATTAGAAACCTACTGATAAAATTGACAGTTTATAAAGACACATTGGGGAGGCAGTGAGTTATTACATGTACTCTTCACAAGTGCCAATGGAAATCTCACTTCGGATTGGGCATTCTTTGCCGCCAGCCTGACTGGCTGAGCTCTTGAATGCTCGTCCTTAACATTTGTATGTCTTTGATTTGGTAAAGCAGGGCCCATGACAATGACTTCTTTTGTCATATAGTAGGTAGTCAGATATGCAGAGCTTCTGGAAATGGCGCAGGCTGGAATGTACTTTGGATTGTGCCAATGAACATGAGGATATTTATTTTGCTTGTTTTTAACCTATGGCTGACTGATGCGGGCCCCCAACCCCCCACCGCCGCTGCCATTTAAGAGCCCCCTCTCCAATTCCCAAGCATCAGTAAGCACACATAGAGGGGATTCCAATGTATCATAATATCAGAACAAAACACGACCTGGGAGCGAAAAATGCATATATTACAAAGGTTTTTTAAAACTAATTCGCAACATGGTTCTTCTCAATACAGTGGATCTCAAAACCCACTCAGACTGCTATTAAGCCTGATTTCAAACCATGCTGTTGTCTTTTTTGAGGTTCCAGCCCCTCCTCATGAACGCTTAGTCTCTCTTTCGTGGGAGGGGCGGTGGCGAGGAGCCTGAAGACGACCGGAGGACGTCTTCCAGACGCTGAACCAGGAGGAGGCTGCCGTCATAGATTCCCCGGAAAGGAAATCTAATGGAAAGGGCAAGTTTGCCATTTTATTTTTATTTTAAAATTTTTATTTAGTTATTGATTTTAGAGAGAGAGGAAAGGTAGGGGAAGGGAGAGAGATATCAGATTTCTTGTTTCACTTATTTATGCATTCATTGGTTGCTTCGTACAAATGCCCTGACAGGAGACGGTACCCACAACCCTAGCGGTGGGGACCACGCTCCAACCCACTGAGCAACCGGCTATGGTACCATTTTATTATAAATACAGAGCCTGGCTGGTGGTTGGAGCTCAATAGTGATGGCTGGAGAGCCGCGGATGCCCAACTACGTGCACATGGGCTGCGTGGAAGAAGTTTGAGATCTCGTCATTGGGTCCTAGGGAACACTGGTCTATAATTAAGACAAAACTTCCACACAGCAAGATTAAAGGTAAACCTTAGCTGTCAGAACCCTTAATTCGTTACCCTTAATTGCAGGGGAAGCTCCGCCACCCGAGCCTCCTCCCTCCTGCCCAAACGCCGGGTCCATCCCCCCCAGCTGGAGATAGCAGAGCTGTTGGCACCGGTGAAGTTACCAGTGCAGCGTAGATAGGAGACCATCACTCCCTCGGCGCGCCCAGACGGCGGCGGCAGGGCGCTTCCGGGGGCGCGCGGCTGGCTAGCGGGCGGGCGCTGGAGCCCGCAGCGGCGCGAGGCCGGAGCGCGGCCCGGCGGGGCGGGGGAGGGGCGGCGGCGGCGGGGCCGGGAGCGTGCGCGCGCACCTCACACTCCGCCGCCCGGGGACGCCCACTCGCGAGCCCCGGCCGTCAGGCCAGCCCGCGCCCTGGCGCCCGCCCCCCCGCCCCGAGGCTCCCTCTCCGGCGTGTGCCCAACGGGCGTCGGCCCCCGGCTGTGCGGCGCTCTCTGGGCCTAAGGAGGCAGAGGCGAGGACCAGGTCGCAGCCCCGCACCGCGTGGACGCGCCGCCTCGCCCGCAGCCGCCGTCAGAGCGATCCGCTGCGAGGGACCGGAGGCAGCACGGAGGAGGCCCTGACGGCGGCCGGCTGCCGGGCCGACCTCTGCCCACCCGAGGCGCAGCTCCTCCGGCGCGCCCGGGGCTGCCGCTTCCCCAGAGCTGACCGAGGAATGAGCAGGCGCCGGCCCCAGGCTCTTGGACCGAGGGGCTGCGGCTCGGCTTCTCCCCACGCCACGGAGCCGCGGGGGCTCGGTCACCGCGACCGGGCACGGAGGAGGCAGCGGCGGCCTCGCTCTGGGGGCAGGCGCCGGGGTTAACTCCACCGGCCGCCCGGAGGAGGAGGAGGAGGAGGAGGACGAGGAGGAGGAGCCGGCGGGGGCGGCCCCGCGCTCCCTCCCCCCTCACACGCCGGGGCTTCTCAGTGGCCGCCCGAGGAGGAAGTTCCGCTCCCTGACAGAGCCGTGCGGTAGCAACAGCGGCAACGGCGGCGGCGGCCGGGAGGGCGCTGGTACTTGGGACGCGGATGCCCTTCGCGCCAGCCGTCCAGTGGGCAGCGTCGGAGCTCTGCCCGGAGCCCGGAGCCGGGGGCCGCGTCGGGAGGCGCGGGCGTCGGAGACCTGCCACTTCGCCCAGCGCCGCTGTTTGGGCTTTCCGGCGAGGTGGGAGACCGCCCTCCCTGTTGGCCGACTTCCGAGGAGACCCTGATTTTTCCATCACTGAGGCTGAGCGGTTCTGGAATCGGAGCATAAGAGGAGGAGAAGTGAACCTTCTGTAACTCTTCGGATCTGGCCAGGCTCTGGTCAACCCTTCGCGGGCGGGAGATCACATTGGAGCAGCCACTGGGGTGCAGGAATGGAAGAACCCACCTTGCATCTTTCCTGCGGTGTTGCTTGCCCGATCCACCTTTACGAATGAGGAGGACACTTTTAAGAATCCCGATGAAATCCTGAAAGCCAAATGGCAAAGAAGATACCACAGGACATAAACTAGTGGTCGTTTGGGGGCCACACACGTTTCTGGATGTAATTGGACAAGCGTGGAAGAGGTGCCCTATTTAAAAAGCACAACAATCCCTTACGAGGAAAAAAATTGAGTTTCCCCATTTTTGCCAAGATTTTTGAAGACTGTTCAATGTATTGTACATTTGATATAAGATGAGAGCTTTATAAAATATTCTGTCCAAGAGCGTAAACGATGACTACCCCAGCCCTGCTGCCCCTGTCTGGACGAAGGATACCACCTCTGAACTTGGGGCCGCCTTCCTTCCCCCATCACAGGGCTACCCTGAGACTTTCTGAGAAGTTTATCCTCCTCCTCATTCTAAGTGCCTTCATCACCCTGTGTTTTGGGGCATTCTTCTTCCTTCCAGACTCTTCAAAACACAAACGCTTTGATCTGGGTTTGGAAGATGTGTTAATTCCTCATGTAGATGCCAACAAAGGGGCTAAAAACCCTGGAGCCTTCCTGATTCATGGACCCGATGAACACAGACACAGGTTTGTTTATTTCAGAAGTTCTGGTATTAACATTTGGCAGAGCAAGGTATGGTTTATTGCATCAGATCAATCTCTCCCCCCTCTCCCCACCCCCACCGTCCTTTGCAGTAAAATGCAATTTTCCCTGAGTCGTTAGACTTACTTCAAAACTGGTTGAGTAGAACCATAGACTGAAAGGGCTCCTAGAGCCCCTCTGAAGTCCAGCTCCTTCGTTTTATGTAGGAGAAACATTTGTGTCCAGGTAACCTAAAGAAAGAGTGGCATATGTTGTACCTTCATTTATTAAGAATGTGTTGCATTCAGTCGTTGTGCCACCCAGTGAAATAGATATATTGAATCCTGACAGCTCCTATGGGTTTGTCAAGTATTAGAAGACGGTCTGTTAGAGTTCTCATTCTTTCAAGCCACCAAATCTGAAGTGAGCTCTAGGGAGAGTTTGGCCAAATTAGAATAAAATGGAAGCTCTAGTAACAAATTTTAAAATCGTTTATGTAATTTGTATAAAAAGAGTTTGGGAAAGTAGTTTACTTTTCTCAAACCTACACTTTAATCTGCTCTATCCCTCTTTATTTCTGAAAATAATTTTGAGTATGTGATAAAAATCATGCTTGAATTGTTTTCACCTGATATTAGTTTTAACTTTTTATCAAGCATGGACAAGTTTGGAGAAAGCTTAGGTTCAAATGTCAGCCTAAGTTAAATACTTGGGAAAATGCTCTGTTGCAGTGACAGCTGGCTTTTCCTTTTTCCTCTATCTTTTTAATTTACTATTTCCTTGCTGGTTCTTTTATTTTTGGCTAAACCTTATGGGGTAGTCCTAACATTGTTTCATGCCATTCTTTTGTAACTAAATTATTTTGGAATTCTTGCCAACATTTTCAACTTCTGTACTCTTTGTATTTGTTTCTTTTATTTTCCCTTTTGCTCTTTGTGACTTCAAGAAAAATCTCATGTGGTCTGTGAGATATATTACTGAAAAATTAACACTGAAAGTATTGTTTTCCTTGAAAATCTAACTTCCCATGGTATTTATATAAGCTATGACAAATAGTTAAAAAAACATTTTTTTTAAATCTCTTTGATGACCACACATTAACATTTAACTGTCTGCCCAGTGGTAAGCAGTTTTCCTTCTATTTTAAGTGTGGTCTGAAGGTTAAAAAGATACACGGTAACCTTCTAGTTTAAAAACATTCATGTAGAAAAATTCTCAGCTAACTGGAATTAAGATTTAAAATTTGAATGAAAATACGTATATGTTCATTTTACTCACATTTTAAAAAGCCTACTTAAATCTCTTAAACAGGAATTCTGAAATTTACATATCCAGTGAACACATATATTTGAGTATTGTTATCCAAAACTATTGGGTGTGAGTTTGCAGTGAGAGGTTGATTATTGAGTTCGGAAATAAGTGAGTCAAATCCTGAGTTCTGGGTAGTGAAAGTCTGAGTAGCAAGTTATATATGTGAGAATTTGTCCAAATCTGTTTGGTTCCTGAATTCTGAAAAGCAAGAAGTTCAAATAGGGTTCAGGTAGTGAGGGATCTCTGCATAAATATCTGGGTTATATCAGTTATTTTTTTATTTGCTTAGTATGTTGTCAGTTGTTGCTTAACTATATTTGAAAACATAGGCTATAATGATAAGAATCCTTGTAATTTGAGCAGTGAAGTACATTTCAAATTAGAGATCATTCAAACAGTAACTTCAAACGTGAGACATAAAACATCAAGTCAGTTAAACATTGGCTTATTTAAAAATAATTCAGAAGATAGCATTTTAGCAGAATTAGTTGGTACTAAGATCATACCTAATTTGGGTGTGGGCCAAAAAAAACTTTCTCGATTTGGAAAATATAAATTCATAATTTATTTTAATTTTGTATGTATGGAGAAGGGTGCAGGATAGAAGGATGAGGATAAGTGAAAAATAAATCATGGTCATTTTTTAAAAAAAGATTTTATTTATTTTTAGAGAGTGGGGAAGGGAGGGAAAAAAGGAGAGAGAGACATTGGTGTGTGAGAGAAACTTTAATCAGTTGCCTCTTGCACGCCCCCAACGGAGGACCTGGCCTGCAACCCAAGGCCTGCGCCCTCACCAGAACCGACTTGAGGACCTTTTGGTTCCCAGGCTGGCGCTCAATCCACTGAGCCATACCATCCAGGGCCCATTATTTCTTATTCATGGTATTTAAGGGGTACTCTTTGAATTGGCTTTTCTTTATTAATGAATTAGTTTAGTATAAGAGTCAAGTGCTTAAGCTCTGGAGTTAGACTACACGGATTCATACCCTAGACCCTAGTTTGTTACTGATTATATGTGTGCTCTTGAGCAGATTTTTAAACTTTATACCTAATGAACTTCCTCTGGGTGACAATGGCATCTATCAATACTTTGCAGATTGTTATATTGAATGAGATAGTACATGCAAAGTTCTTAACATAGTTCCTAACATTTAGTAAATGCTCAATAAATAATAGCTATTATCAGTGATTATAGTTTTAATTGAATATTTTAATTCTGAGCCTACTTACATTTAAATACTGTACATGTTTCTGAAAAGTTGGGTACAGATTAATATTTTCGAAGCACATCAGAACTTTATTGTCTAAAGGAACATTTTATAACCAAACTAGTTAGCAACAAATGTGTTTTGCATGTCTGCTGTGTGTCAGGCCCTGCTTTTATGGACCTTCTAGGGAAGCGATGTGCATTAAATGAATACATTTATTTTTGGGGTGTGATGAGTGTTAGGAAGTTGTTCTCAGTGCTATCAGAGCACATGTGGTGTGATTTAGCCTGTGGAAGCCCCAAGGTAGGGATGGAGGGATTGGGGGTGGCATTGGAATAAGGAAGGCCTCCTGGGGGAAGCAATAGCTTGCATACTTAGAACAAGTAGGAGATCTCTGAGTAAAAACAGAGATGTGGGGAAAAAGTGGTCAAAGCAGAGGACACGACCTGTGTAAGTCCTTAGGTAAAAAAAGCTTCGCATCATGGAGGATTTGAGAAATGTGCAGTATAACTGATGTAGAGATTGCAGTGTAGGGCTAGGTGAAGAGATTAGAATGGAGATCAGATTTGGCCCCCTTATTGTGGTTGGAAAAGTTTGAGTTAGCTGTCAGCATTCACATATTAGGGGATTTCATGTAAAAGTCTGGATTTCTGATTTCTCTTGATACATTAGAGGATATGGTGACACCCACGTTTGTGTTCAGAGGGCAGCACTCAGCTGGATCTGGGTAGCAGCTACTATCTCTAGAGGGTCATGTGCTCCTCACTTCATGCCACTCAAGTTGCCAGAGAAGTAAATCTAATGAATCAATATATTTAAAAAATATTTTATTTATTATTTTTAGGGAGAGGGGAAGGGAGGAAGGAAGAGTGAGAGAAGCTTGGATCAGTTGCCTCTCTGTGCACCTCTGACCCTGGGCCCAACCAGCAACACAAGGCTTGTGCTTTGACCAGGAATCAACCAGCAACCTTTCACTTTGGGGATCGATGTCCAACCAACTGAGCCACAAGGGTCAGGGCTAATAAATCAATATTTACCCTAGGTGTTGTTGAGTTTGCAACCTCTAGGCAGGATCCTGGAGTTTGTATTTCAGTGTTTCTATGGGAAGTCATTGAAGGGTTTTTATTAAAGCAAGGGAATGACTTAATTATAGAAAAATTTTTAAAAAGTGAATTACTTTTGTTGCAGTATAAACACCAGATTGGAGAGGCATAGGAGATATAGTGAAATCAGTTAGAAGGTTCTAGGTCACAGGATAGTATTGGCTTAGACCACAGTGGTGATAGTGGAGAAGGAGAAAATGTTAGTGGAGAAAAGTGGTTGATTCAAGAGCTGTTCTACTGTTCTTTCACAGAATTTGTAGTTGGTTGAATATGGGGGTTATGGTAGAAGGAGTCTAGGATAACTCCCAGTTTCTGGGTGACATGGCTGTGGATTACTAAGAAATATATAATATTTAATTCTATTTAGACTTACGTAATTGTGGTTGCTGGGGGGAGGGGGCTATAAGAGGACTAAATGGTAATGGAAAAAAATACACTAAAGATTAGATTTATGTAATTGATGTTACATGAATTTAAGATAAAGTATTTTTATCAGAAAACCTGTATGTTCCTTTATTTTTAGTGGTTCATAAACAATTTAGAGTTTACAAACAATATATATACCTTCCAGATGATAACATGAAGTATGTAGTGTGGTTTTGATGATAGTCATTTTTAGCATCTGTGATTTTAAAGTAACTAAAACATGTTATAATACATATGGATGTCATAACTATATACTGCTACATGAGTTATCATGTTCATAATTTCCATATATAATAGACCTCATTAAAATTTTACTTATTAATTTTTTTTTGAAACCAACACTTGTTTTATATAATGGCTTTAATATAAATGGGATTTGTGGTTTCATTTTGTTTTTTAAATACTTATTTGAATTGCCAGCAAGTTTCATCCATCACTTAGGATTTTGTTAGTGCAAACTGAATACTTGAGGGTTAGATGTATGTTAACTTCTGATTGTTTACTCAAACAGAAAGAACATAGGCTTAGGAGTTAAAAGGGCCTAATGTTGCCCCTTGGTTCTACTAAGTATATGTGTGACGCTGAACTAGGCTTAATCACTCTCAACCCATGTTGGCCAATATGGTAGTCATTAATGATACTGAAATGTGGCCACTTCAAATTGCAGTGTGCTTTAATGAGAGTTTCTCAAGTTTTTGATATCATGATTTGTATTTTTTGCTTGATTCAGTTTTGCATTTTCTTGCAAAATTAGAGATTTAAAATCTCATTGTTGTGATTTAAATTTTCTCTCTTTTCTCATCTCATTCCTCTTCCATTCTTTTTCCCCCCTATCCTGTTCTATACTTAGTGCTTTCTGCTCCTGTTTTGGGGAAGTTACATCATTTTATCCTGTAAGTCTGCTGAACTTTTCCTGGTAGTGTATTTCCCCTCATTGGCTCATGGCTATTTTTCCTA